TAGTGAGCTGCATAATACATCACCCAGTTCTTTATTTTTCAACATTTTTTACTACTCTCAAAACATATTGTTGTATTGTAGAGATCCAGTCATTAGGTAGCCTATACAATAATGAACTGGGATGAATTCCCTTTTTATATTTTAGTTTGTGTCTCTTTATCCCAGAAGTGTCCATACCATAATGGAAAGTTTTTTAAGATTTCGGGTAAATTTGCTCTGGTTAGTGGGTGGTTGGCGGGTTCTCTGGTGTGGTTTGCTTCTTCTTTCCTATGAAACATGTATCGTCCTTATCTTCCCATCTTTTTTAAAATGTTTGTTACTCTCTGGTAACACTTCTAATCTTCTGGCACTCATATGACCATATGCAGTTGCGAGCGTCGTAAAACCTCTACTAAATCAAAAACTGCTCTGGTTATTTGAGAGTGGGCTTGCGGTCAGTAAAAAGATCACAAGAACACATTTGATCTCTCCTCTGTTGAATTGTTCATGTTACATTAATAAACCTGTGTTTCTAAACTAAGCTGTTTTCTGGCTCTTTTGAGCAAGTTTTTGGTGTTTTCATATTTCATATCGCTCAATGTGATGAGCATTTTTCCTTGATGACTTTGGGTGTATCAGAGTGACTTTTTTTTTCAGGTGGTGTGTTGTGCTGTTACACTTTTTTCCTTGAAGAAGTTATACATTTGTGAGGCATCGTGGTGGAATCAGGCTCTCGTCAATTTTGGGGCACATCAAGTTATTGGTATCATCTTAAAGCTTGTTCACTTGTCTTTATTTGGATGAAAAAATATCCGTTTATCTTAAATACAAGTCGAGATATTTGAGAATGAAGGAGGTGGGGGGTCACCTGTTTGCAGAGGTAAAATTAGTGAGAAAATGGCTGTCAAAGATTACTTATTTCCATAGCTTAAGAGTCCGTGGTAACTGAAAATTTACATCTTTTGTGCCTTTAATCAACGTTTTTCAGAAAAATCCACACAGAAATGAGTTCTTTAATGGGCATGACAGGTGCTGAGCCCAAAAACAAAAATTTGATAAAAATTCATAAACTCGCAAAAAAATGCAAATTTCTTCACTTTGATTATTTTGACGAGAGCCTGATTCCACCCCGCTGCCTCACATTTGTGTGTCTTTTCCTCTTTTAATTTGTTTGTTTAGATCTTCACCTCGTTTCGTTTCTTATTCTGATATCCAAACACAGATGGTTCCTACGTGATGACAATGCTGTTCCCGCTACGTATGTGCTACAACCAATCAGTTCCTTGCTGCCTGACTCAAATTCTGATGTGGAAGAGATTCGGAAGTCAGCCATGAACGAGTGGCACAAGAAGAATAATAAGATGCATTCATCTTTAGCTAGTTCAGCAGTCAGCATTTTGGATCCAGAGCGGGCCCAAGTCTACCTTCGATCTGGTAATGGACTGTTCTAAATGTGAGGCAGCGGGGTGGAATCAGGCTCTTGTAAAAAATAATCAAAGTGAAGAAACTTGCTTTTTTTTGCGGGTTTGTGAATTTTTATCAAATTTTTGGCTTTGGGCTCAACACCTGTCATGCTGGTTAAAGAACTCATTTCTGTGTGGATTTTTCTGAAAAACGTTGATTAAAGGCACAAAAGATGTAAATTTTCAGTTACCACGGACTCTTAAGCTATGGAAATAAGTAATCTTTCACGGCCATTTTCTCACTAATTTTACCTCCGCAAACAGGTGACCCCCACCTACTTCATTCTCAAATATCTCGACTTGTATTTAAGATAAACGGATATTTTTTCATCCAAATAAAGACAAGTGAACAAGCTTTAAGATGATACCAATAACTCGATGTGCTCAAAAATTGACGAGAGCCTGATTCCACCACGATGCCTCACAAATGTCCCTCTAGCATTAATTTTTATCTGTTGACAGATAATTGAAAAGATTTGCTGCCGTAATGTAACTGTTTTATCTTGAATTAACCTGATCTGAGGCCAGCAGTGAATTTACTGTTTCTCAGATTGTTTTTTGTGGCTGGGTTTGTGTGATTGTATCCTTTTTTTTTCTGCTTCTGTGTCTATGTTATATTCTGTCAGGTTGTCTTCCCTTTATTTAACTCATTGATTCCGGATTGCCACTTACGTGGCATTTTTGGTATTGTATTTAACTGATTGCTTCTTAACTGGCGTTTTGGGGTAATAATTTCATAAACCCAAGATCTACACCTGGTCCTGTGTTATATTTATACTACTTATTTTCACCCATATTGTGGTTCCTTGTTCAATTACAAATGGTTTAAATACTCCAACCAACAAATCTATCAAAGTTTTACTGAATTATACACTCTTCACCACCTAAATTTGGGTATGTAAAATTGTGAAATCCTTTACATACTGAACGAGTTGAAGTATTGTTTGTTTGATTGAAAATCCTATCCTCTCTGTTTTGATTAAGTTATTCTGAAAGTTAAGTTTTTGATGCAATAAATTTGAATGTAAACCCATAACTTTTTCTCTCTTATCATATTTGTAACCATCTACCTGACAGTAGTATTTTTAAAGTTGGTTGCTCATGAAAAATAAAGATCAGTAACCTTAAGCAAGTATTTGCTTTTAGAACTTTGTAATTCAGGACTTGCTTCATATATGAGCAGCTAGTCTTTCTCTGCATTTGCCTGGCTTATAGGATATATCAGACCAACATGTTTTTTTGAGGTAGTATTTATTTGTTGTACAAAATCTGAAATATTTTTCATAAGAATAGTGATATAGTGGAGTGATTCATATCATAAGAATAGCTTGATAAGGAAGTAAAACACAAATGTTAGGCATCGTGGTGGATTCAGGCTCTCGTCAAAATGATCAGCTGAAGAAACTTGCATTTTTCCGCAGGTTTGTGAATTTTTATCAAATTTTTGTTTTTTAGTTCAACACCTTTCATGCCCGTTAAAGAACTAATTTCTGTGTGGATTTTTCTGATAAGCGATTATTAAAGGCACAAAAATGTAAATTTTCATTTACCATGGACTCTTACGCTAAGGAAATAACTAATCTTTGGCGGCCATTTTCTCACTAATTTTACATCTGAAAACAGGTGACCCCTACCTCCTTCTTTCGCAAATATCTCGACTTGTATTCAAGATAAATGTATATGTTTTCCATCCAAATAAAGACAAGTGAATAAGCTTTATGATGATACCAATAACTCTACATGCCCAAAAATTGATGAGAGCCTGATTCCACCGCGCATCACAAATAAATTTCTTTGTTTTCATTGCTACGGTATATTTGTACGATGAAAACTATCACCGTGTCTGTTGTTGAAGCTCTTTTAAAACACAAGTTTTT